ACAACAAAAAACAACAATAGACAACAAAAACAACAATAGACAACAAAAACAACAATAGTCAACAAAAATCAACAATAGACAACAAAGACAACAGTAGACAACAAAAACAACAGTGGACAACAAAAAACAATAGACAACAAAGACAAAAATAGACAACAAACACAACAGTGGACCCATGGGGCCCAGTCAGTCTCAGCCCAAATGAGCAACATGGGTTTGCCTTCCTGTGGACCCACTACCTGCAGGAGGGTCCATATGAGTTGGGTGCATGAATCCATGGGCAGTGGCTGAAGGTGGGGACCTTGGCACTCTGACCGTGGCTTACCAAATCTGGCTCTTGGGACATGGGATGTGACCTTTTTGATGGGAAAGGAGCCTGAGCTTGTGTGTGCGATTGAGAGGTACCGACTAGATATAGTTGTGCTCACCTCAATGCACAGCATGGGCTCTGGAACCGATCTCTTTGAGAGGAGCTGGACCTTATTCCACTCTGGAGTTGCTCATGTTGAGCGGTGCCAAGCTGGTGTGGGTATACTCTTAGCCCCCCGACTTGGTGCCTGTCTGTTGGAGTTTTCCCCAGTAGATGAGAGGGTAGTTTCCCTGCGTTTTCAGGTTGGGGGATAGGCTCTGACTGTTGTTTGTGTCTATGTGCCTAACGGCAGTTCAGAGAATCTTGCCTTTTTGGAGTCCTTGGTGGGGGTGCTGGAATGTGCACCAACTGGGGACTCTTTACTCTGCTGGGAGACTTCAATGCCCACGTGGGTAAGACAGTGTGACATGGAGGGGTGTGATTGGGAGGAACAGCCTCTCTGATCTGAACCCAAGCTGTGTTCTGTTGTTGGACTTCAGTGCTAGTCATAGTTTGTCCATCACGAACACCATGTTAGAACATAAGGGTGTCCATAAGTGCACTTGGCACCAGGATGCCCTAGGTTGTAGATTGATGATTGACTTTGTTGTTGTGTTATCTGATTTGCGGCCGTTTGTTTTGGACACTTGGGTGACGAGAGGAGCTGAGCTGTTAACTGATCAACACCTGGTAGTGAGTTGGATAAGATGGCAGGTGAAGATGCCAGACAGACCTGGAGTAGACCCAAACATGTAGTGAGGGTTTGCTGGGAACGCCTGGCAGAAGAACCCATCAGAAAGATCTTCAACTTACACCTCTGGGAGAGCTTTAACTGCATCCCAGCTGAGGCGCAGAACACTGAGTCCAAGTGGGCCATGTTCTGTGACTAAATTGTTGAAGTGGCTGCCTTGAGCTGTGGTCGCAAGGTTGTTGGTGCTTCTTGCGGTGGCCATTCTCAAACTCATTGGTGGACAAACCGGGTTAGGGAGGCTGTCAAGCTGAAGAAGGAGTCCTATTGGTCCTTGTTGGCTGTGGGGACTTCAGAGGAGGCTGAGGATTACCGGAGGGCCAAGTGGATCACTGCGTTGGCTGTTACTGAGGCAAAAGCTTGGATGTGGGAGGAGTTTGGTGAGCCCCTGGATAATGACTCTCGGTCAGCTCAGAGGAAATTCTGGCACACAATCAGGCAGCTGAGGAGGCGAAAACAGTGCTTTACTAACAATGTATTCAGTGAAAGTGTAGTGCCATTGACTTCAACGAGTGATGTTAGCAGAAGGTTAAAAGAATACTTCTCAGACCTTCTCAATTCCACTGGCAAGATTTCCATGGAGTAAATGGAGTATGGGAACTTTGGTGTTGGTCTGTCCATAACCGTGGCTGAGGTCACTGAGGTTGTTAAGAAGCTCCACAGTGGCAGGGCTCTGTGGGTGTAAGATTCGCCCTGATTTCCTAAAGGCTCTGGATGTTGTGGGGCTGTCTTGGTTGACACGCCTTTGTAACATCGTGTGGACATCGAGGGCAATGCCACTGGATTGACAGACTGGGTGGTGGTTCCCCTTTTCAAAAAAGGGGACCAGTGTGTGTGCTCCAATTACAGGGGCATTATTCTCCTTAGCCTCCCTGGGAAGGTCTTTTCAGGGGTACTGGAGAAGTGAGTCTGAACCTCAGATCCAGGAGGAACAATGTGGGTTCCATCCTGCCCGTTGAACACTGGACCAACTCTTTACCCTCACTAGGGTCCTTGGGGAGTCATGGGAGTTTGCCCATCCAGTCTAAATGTGTTTTGTGGACTTGGAGAAGGCATTCAACCATGTTCCTTGGAGTACACTGTGGGGGATGCTCCTTGAGTATGGGATTTGGGACCCGTTGTTGCGGGCTGTTCAGTCCCTATACAAGCGGTGTGAAAGTTTGGTTCGCATTGTCAGTATTAAGTCAGACCCCTTCAGGGTGGGAGTTGGACTCCACCAGGGCTGCCCATTGTCACAGATTCTGTTCATAACTTTTATGGCCAGAATTTATTGGTGCAGCCAGGGGGCAGAGGGTTTCTGGTTCGGTGGCCACAGGATTCCATCTCTGCTCTTTGCAGATTATGTGGTCCTGTTGGCGTCATCGTGCCGTGATGTTCAGCTCTCACTGGAGTGGTTCTTAGCCAAGTGTGAAGCGGCTGGGATGAGAATCAACACCTCCAAATCTGAGGCCATGAACCTGAAATGTAAAAGGATGGATTGATTTCTTCAGGTCGAGGGTGAGGTTCTGCCTCAAGTGAAGAAGTTCAAGTATCTCAGGGTTTTGTTCACAAGTGAGGGAAGAATGGAGCGTGAGATTGGCAGACAAATTGGTGCTGCATCTGCAGTATTGTACATTGACTACTTTACCAACTTCAGTAATCTTCGTCCGATCTCTAATCTGCCCTTTATTTCCAAAGTTCTTGAAAAAGCCATTGCTAGTCAACTTCACTCTCACCCATTCAACAATAACATTTACGAAGAGTTTCAATCTGGTTTTCGCCCCCACCATAGCACCGAAACAGCTCTAATAAAAATAACTAATGACCTTCTTCTTGCTGCTGACTTACTGGATCTAAGTTCTGCCTTCGACACAATCTGTCATTCTATCCTCCTCAACAGACTAACCTCCATTGGCATCTTAGGTACTCCATTAGACTGGTTCAAATCATATCTCTCTGACCGCACTCAATTCATTCAGCTCAAATCCTTTCGTTCCCAGTCTTCCCCCATCTCCACGGGTGTCCCCCAAGGCTCTGTCCTCGGACCCCTCCTCTTCATCATTTACCTCCTTCCTCTAGGTCACATCTTCCGTAAATTTGGTGTCCATTTTCACTGTTATGCTCATGACACACAGCTCTACCTGTCAACAAAACCAAACTCCACCCACCCACCTTCCATCCTCACCGACTGTCTCAATGAGCTAAATCACTGGTTTTCTAACAATTTCCTACAACTAAACAGTAACAAAACAGAAATCATTCTTGTCGGTACCAAAAACTCTCTTTCAAAATCAGAACATCTTCTCATCCCCCTTAACAACTCTCTGCTATCCCCCTCGCCTCAGGTCAAGAGTCTTGGTGTCATCCTCGACATCACTCTCTCCTTCACTTCACACATCAACAATGTTACTCGGTCTGCCTATTTCCACCTCCGAAATATTAACCGTCTCCGCCCTTCTCTCACACCCCGCTCCACAGCTATCCTTGTTCACAGTCTTATGACTTCTCGGATTGACTACTGCAACTCCCTTCTTTATGGCCTCCCCAACAAATCGCTCCAGAAGCTACAATTGGTCCAGAACTCAGCTGCCCGTGTCATCACTCAAACCTCCTCCTATAACCACATCACTCCAGTCCTGCAGCAGCTCCACTGGCTCCCAGTTAAATCACACATCGTCTTCAAAATTCTTCTTCTCACTTTCAAAGCTATCCACAACCTTGCCCCTCCGTACCTATCTGACCTCCTGCTCATCTCCATCCCCTCTCGCTCTCTCAGATCCTCCTCTTCACTACACCTCCATGTACCCTCTGCCCGCCTCTCCACCATGGGGAGCAGGGCCTTCACCTGCTCTGCTCCTCATCTCTAGAACTCTCTACCCCCTGACTGAAGAAACACCACCTCTCTTTCTCTATTCAAGACTGCTCTGAAAACGCATCTCTTTAGACTCGCTTATCCTTAACTTTTAACTTATATTCTTTATGCATTTTATATTCTGTATGTATTTTATATTCTTTATGTATTTTATATTATTTATGTAATGTATTCATGTTGATCTTTGTTCTTACTGTAAAATGTCCTTGGGTGTCATGAAAGGCGCTTTTTAAATAAAATGATTATTATTATTATTATTATTATTGCAGACTCTGTACCGGTCTGTTGTGGTTAAGAGGGAGCTGAGCTATAAGTTCAAAGCTCTCCGTTTACTGGTCGGTCTACGTTCCTACCCTCACCTATGGTTATGAGCTCTGGGTAATGACCAAAAGAATGAGATTGCAGATACAGGAAGTTGAAATTAGTTTTCTCCGCAGGGCAGCTGAACTCTCCCTTAGAGATAGGGTGAGAAGTTCAGTTATCTGGGAGAAACTTGGAGTAGAACTGCTGCTCCTCCACATCGAAAGGAGCCAGTTGAGGTGGTTCGGGCATCGGGTAAGGATGCCCCCTGGACACCTCCCAGCCATGTCTGAATGGGAAGAAACCCTGGGGGAGATACAGAACAAGCTGGAAAGACTATATCTTTCTGTTGGCCTTGGAACGCCTTGGGGTCTCCCCAAAGTGCTAGAAGTGGCTGTGGAAAGAGATGTCTGGGCTTCCCTGCTCAAGCTGCTGCCCCCGCAACCCGACTTCAGAACAAGCGGAAGATAATGAATGGATGGATGGATGGATGGATGGATGGATGCATTTAGCCTTAGGTTTAGCCAGCAGTTTCAGATAAGATTCAATGTTGCCCACTCTGGACCCCAGAATTAATTGAACTATGGTCGCTGGAGTCCCTAAAGCCATGTTTGGGACTATGAAGCTGCAAATAACCACCGTCTGCTTTTCAGCGGGTGTGTCACTGAGCGAGGAAAAAACATTTGACATGTGAGTAGGTTGGTAGTGAACTGGGGGCTTAGACTTAGCACTATGCTTACTTCGGTCCGTCACCCAGCCAGCCTGAGGTCCCAGCTGCTCTGGGTCTGCTGAAAACCACTAACGAGAGCTAGTCTGTGTGGTTCCACGTTGTAAGAGGACCTGGCTAACTACTGTTTTTTCTACAGCACAGAGCCAGAAAGCCAGACAAAGACTCTACTTTCTAAGAAGACTAAAGAAGTTTGGTACAAACACCAGCATCCTCACCAACTTTTATAGGTGTGCCATTGAGAGCCTGCTGACAGGCTGCATCACAGGATGGTATGGGAACAGCACCAGCCAGAGCCAGAAAGCTCTACAAAGGGTGGTGCAAACAGAAGAGGACATCACTGGTAGCAGTCTCCACACCATCCAGGAGATCTACCACAGCCGATGTCTGCGTAAAGCATGCAGCATCATTAAGGAGCACACCCACTCAGCACAAGGACTCTTCCGTCTACTACCCTCAGGCGGAGAGTACAGGAGTCTACCATCGCGTACAAAAAGACTAAAGTACAGCTATTACCCTCAAGCTATCAATTACTAAACTCTCAATAAATAACACTGAACAACTGGCAATAACTAACTAATAATTCAACTTCAATATCACTACTTGTGCAATAACCTGTCACACAACCCGTGTAGTATATGTTGATTATGTGCAGTGTATAT